CCTGGTGATAACGGAGAAAAGAGACAGACAGGACATCAGTATAAGTCACAGTTATGATTTCACAGTTTCGAGACAGCTTGGTAGCCCGAATGGCCTCAGGCTTTCGCCCGTGCATGCTAAGTGACTTTCATTACAAGCATTTAGCTTTCCGAAGTCTATGACAACAATTGTTTGACATTGACGGCCACAAATTTCGTGCCAATAAGCTGCCTCAACTTGTTCCAAAGAGGTGGTAAGGGTGCGAGGACAGATAAATGGTGGTTTAAGGGTTTCCCAATTCAAGTTGTCTCTAACTACAAATATCTGAGTGTTACTATTTCGTCTATGGTTTATTTCGAATGCACTATATCAGGGGTGGGCAAGCAAGAAGTCAGTGGGAGCCAAAATGTAGGATTTGCAAAATGCATGGGAGCCACAGTTCTGTACTTTTTTATTATGTACTGCAGTTCTGTACCGCGATTTTATTATATAATATAAATTAGTGATGTAATGAATATTTGGTTACTATTCGGTATTCAGCCTATTTTTCACTATTCGGCTGAATACCGAATATTTAATCACTATTCGGCCGAATACCGAACATCTAAAAACAGGAGTAAGGAATAACAAAAACACAGCAAATTAATCAATTTGTTACTTAGATTTATTAATTAATGTTATCGGGTTAGTGTTGTTTGTTTATATTTATTTATAACTTATAACATGCACAAAATAAAAAAGAAAATAATATTAATTACATGTATTGACAATTTATAATTACAAAGATCAGCACACGTATACACCTTATTCGTTGCACATCTGAGGATCTGACCCTGCCTATCCTTCTTTTTAAGCACTCATCTTTGCTCTTCCCTTTCTCTTTCCTCTATCACTCTAGTCCACGTATTAGTATGCATACATCATAATACACGCTCATGATACTTTCGATTTGTCACTTTTCCATCGTAGATTTCCCATTTTACAATTACGTGACTCATAGTCTGGTGATAATGGAGAAAAGAGACAGACAGGACATCAGTATAAGTCACAGTTACGATTTCACAGATTCAAGACAGCTTGGTAGCCCGAATGGCCTCAGGCTTTTGCCCGTGCACACTAAGTGACTTTCATTACAAGCATTTAGCTTTCCGAAGTCTATGACAACAATTGTTTGACATTGATGGCCGCAAATTTCACTCCAATAAGCTGCCTCAACTTGTTCGATTGTTATCAACTCAATTTCATATTTATTTTCACATTTTCACTTCACGGTCCTTCTCTGTTCTTTTCTGGTTATTTACATGTGTAGGTCATTTCATTGTTATCCACATTTGATATCATTTATTATTTATCACATAATGCCATGATACTCTTGTCTGTCCGCTACAACTGTCAAGAATTAACATGATTGGCGAAGCGTAATGATAGTGGGTCAATAGAGAGCAGGGTCCTTGCCATAATGCAGTTTGGGTGCCAATTTTCATATGTGTGTTAATCAAGCCGAATAGTTTGGCCAAATATTCGGCTATTCGGCCACGCTCCTGGCCAAATATACTATTACGTTGCAACACTAATATAAATACAGTCGATCCCTTAGATTCACTTAGATTTTACAAATACGTGTAGCGGGCTGTGAATGGCTTAGTATTTGTAAAATCTAAGTGACTCGTATGACATGGAATTCTTATAAAACGGAATTATCAACAGTGTTATAGGGGAGATCAACTGTATTATATAAAACAAATACTGAATTTTTTTAATAAACATATTTTCACAAAATTGTGGAAATAAAATCGTAAAAATAATAATAAAAAGCAGAAATTAACACTTTCAGCAAGAGCTTTTAATGTAACTTTTATGTACTTTTTACTCTGTTATCTTTATAAAAACACCAACGGAAGAGGGACTCTGAAATGAATATTGGGTATTGTATACATTTTAGGTTTAATCATTTAAAATTTCTTTATTCTTTTGTAAACTTAGATATAAAATAAACTAAATAAATTTTTTGTAATATCATATTCATGGTGTGATAAGCCCTAAAATTTAAGTAACTGGTTAGATTGTCACAAAAATTTAGTATATGTCATAATTTATTGACATTACTCAGGACTATTCTGAATATTTTTGGCACCTGAAGCAAATCTAAGAGTAGTGTTCTAGTTGCCTCTCCACCTCATCTATTACCAAGGCTGTGCTATCACTGTTATGTAATAAACAAAATGTTTTGCAATTATAACAGTTTGAATTTTAAAAATTAATTTTTTAATTTTTGTTGTATTGTCACAAGCAATACAATGCTACCCATTTAAAATTAACTGAAACTTGGTTTACACTGCACTGTTTTTGCAGTAATGGGAAAATACCAGAGAATAGATGCAAAATATAATAATAATAATTTTGTAACAATAAATTTGTTTTAAATTACTATTGTGTTACATTGCACTCATTCAAATATTGATATTTGATTCCATAACGTTTTATTATTATATTTTCATTAGAAATTGAAAAATTAATTGGGAAACTTTTAAACATATTGACACAAAAAAAGATTTATGGGTGCAAGTGAAGCCATGCTTGCAAGAGTTGCAAGTATTGTAAGTAACAATGCCTGCTCATTTTTTCTGCCATGAACACTGTACTGCTCATATGAAGTCTCTTAGCTCCCAACATTTTTTTTTCCCTCAAAAACTTGTGCAGTGAAAAAGTGTCAACTACATGTCAATCATTTTAAAAGTTAGTATGATAGAAATTTTTCAGATTTTTTAATGAAATTGAGGGACAGAATGGAAAAATGGCCTATCCCACATTAAAGAAGTTTTTGAAAAAAAAAAAAGATTTATGTGATTCACCAGCATTTTAATGTGCAACACTTTATTAATGTGGATGTATGACCTGTAGGCATATAACTGAACCATGAAAGTTTCTTAGAAGGATGATGATGCATATGTATATGTTGATGTAAGACCCCATGAGACTCCTGGAGGGTTCTATGATTTAAAGTTTTAAACATTTATTTTGGTGTTGTAATATATTCATTGTAAAAATGTAAACTTATATTTCATATTTCAGTATATTTCATTAGCTCTCTGGAACTACTTTTATAACATGCAACTTTATTGTTTGATTTTTGGATATAAACTTTCAAACACATGTTTAGGAACACATTATATCTAAAAGTCAAGAACTGCTTTTACCTAAATATTTATATAGTAGCCCCTCATTATATCACACCTTGTTATATTGCTCATTCAGATATGTCACTTCTTTTGTATTCTACATATAAAAGTGCTTTATATGTGATACTACAGTGCCTGGTTTAGAGTTGGATGCATCATGATTTCCAAATTTTAGTGTGAAGTTGTTAGACATATCTAATTTTAAATTATATTTTGTGATCTTATTTTGAACACAGCACCACTAGCAGGAAATTAGAATGTTAACTGATGATATTTAAATCTTCAATGTTCTTTAAAATGTTATAAATGTTTTTAATTAAATGTAAAGGGGGAAGTTCATTTCTCCCACACTTGATTTTTGGAAATCTTGACAAAGACTTGACAAAAAAAGTACAAGTACATATATCCTGCAATATGAAATACTGCTCATTTGATTTGTCTCCCTAATGTAATGTTTATAATTATTTTTATGCTTTTTATAATAATTTACTTTTTATCTATTGTTATTATATGGAAAAAACTTGATATTAAGTGTGACTATTTATCCAAATATGATTTGTTAAAAAATATATTTATGTACAGAACATACAATGGGATAGGTTCTAAAATTAATTTCACCTAGGACCTCAATGTGCCAATAAGATCAACGATTTTCAAAGTATATAAAAAATGTGTATGTTAAAAGTCAAAAATACATACAGTCTAGAAGTTTACAAGTCTTGGAAAGAGAAAGAATTTCTTCATCTACTTTAGTCATTAACCAAGGCCAGAATGTCTCTTCAATATCTGTAATTAAATTTTTATTTAAAAATAATAATCTTGGAAAGTTTTTAAATATGTAAAGCAGTTTTATACCTTGTTGTATATTATCATAAAATAAGCCCATCTCTTCCAGTTTATGAAATAATGAAGGTAATAAATCTATCAAATAATTTCTGGCAAATGCTCTTGCTGCTACTTTTTGAGCGGTTTCCTCTTCTATTTGAACAGCTTCTTCATTTTGTAATACACGGTATTCCTAAAATTATTCAATCACTTATATTATTTTCCTATAATTAATATTACAAAACATTTTGATAGTATATTATAGTTTAATTAGTTGTCAATTAGTTGTTTCTGAATATAATGTAAATTGAAACTAATATCTCAAATAATATAGTAGAGATAACAGAGACTATCACACTGCTGCTGGTAACATCAAAATGACACTTCTATTATCAGAATGTTATGCATTTTGATACACAAGACCCTCATCAGCCATACATAAAAAATGAACAGGTATGTTTTAAATTGTAGATTGTAATGTTAATGTTGGTTTCGCAGCAAGTTTGTTCTACAACAGATACCTATATATTTTTATATATGGCAGATGAGTGTCTTGTGTACCAAAATGCATACCAGTAATAAAGTTGCATTCTGATAATAGAATGCAACTTTATTACTGGTATGCATTTTGTAATAGAAGTGTCTTTTTGATGTTACTAGCAGCAGTGTGATAAGTCTCTGTTATCTCTGCTGTATTATTTGAGATATTAGTTTAAACAATTTTCAAGACAAGAAGCTCTTTTATAATAGTTAATGTAAATAAATTGCAAGTTAGAACAACCTGATTAAGTATTGAAAATAAAATACAGGAAAATTTAAGCAAATCTATTTGAATATTAATCTGTTTAAATTTCAAACAGATTAATAATAATAAACTGAAGGTCAAAAGTTTTGTTTCTTCATTCTTAAATTTATTACTTCTAAAATTTGAAATAATGAGACTAATTAAACTGTTTAATCATGAAACAAAAATTAGAAATTAATGATACTGTATATAGTTTATTTATGTACTGTATTATACACCATATAAGGCTCCTATTTCAGATAGAATATTTAGGGAAAGTGTTCAGTGTATTTAAGTCATTCGTTACCTTTGGCTCTTGGCACCAGAATTTTTCTTACAGTAGTCTAGTTTAAAAAAAAGTAAAACTAGAATGTACACTTTTATTTACATAGGAAAAAGAGCAGTTTAAAAAAGTCATTTATAGTTAAAGTTTACCATTAAGATATTCAACATGAATGTATGTAAAAGCTATTTGGCTATAGCAAAAATGAAAATATATTTAATTAAACAATAACATTTTTATTCAAGAGTTGGGATAAGTAAGTGTTATCCATAGTCTAATAAAGGCCATTGGTGAAATTCATTAGCTATGACAGATCACAACTTCACATATAAGATGCAGTGAGATTTTTTGAGTTTTTTTTTTTTTTTTTTTTAAACAAAAGTTGTATCTTATGTCATAAAATATGATAAAATAATAAAAAGCAAATGAAAACAAAAGGGTTTTCTTCCATTTTGTTTCTTTTATTTTTGCTGGTTTATTGTTATTTACATCTACTTGAGGTTAATTATATTAATTTATAGCAGCAGTTTTGTATAGATTAATATGGCTATGCTAGTCAAATCTTATAGAAAAGCTGTCGTGAAATTAGGCAGAACATCTTCAAAACTGGAGTTTTTCATTAATTGACATTCGTTTAGCTTCAATTTACAGGATATGTTTACCATCTGAATGTTCCAGTTTGCTTCTAGTAGTCAGAAGCTTATGTTTGAGGAAGGCAGTTAGATTGGCTAAGAGAACGTACACCTTACTGAACAGCATAATTCATATGGAGAGTTATTTCTATATATATACTAGCTGCAAGGATCTGCTTCACTGGGTTTTTATTTGTTTGTACATTTGTATGTAATATAGTTTATATATATATATAAAAGACTGTTTTTCTAAGTAATCTAGAATCTAGCTGCAAGTATCCGCTTCGCTGGGTTTTTATTTGTGGGTACAAAGTAACGATAGTGAAGATTAAGATAATTACATTATAGCCAATCTTACCCGTTTTCACAGAATGCAAGAATTAGGTCCCCCGTTTCCAGACTAATTAGAGACCTGGTCCCGATTCTATTTCTGAACGTCTCCTGTTCACGTCC